CGAGGACGGCAGCTGCGCGCGCCCGTCGCCCTCGGTGGGGCCTGTCTGCCTGCCGAGCAGCGCTGCTCGCCCCACCGAGCCCGAGGCCGCGCCCTGCGAGGTAGCCGGCTGGGGCCACCAATTCGAGGGTAGGCAGACCCGCTGGGGGCGGGAGGGAGACCTCTGGCGCCGGGGTGGGCAAGGAAAGCCCGCCGCTTTGGTATCCATCCCCAGGGACAGGAGGCACGGCCTGCCGGGCTGTGAGGACGCGCAGGGCCCTTGTCTCTGCAGCCACCGGTCCCAGGGCCTGGGGTTCACTGTTGCCCCCTCCCCCCCAAAATACCCCTGAGGAGTACAGGGAGAATCACACTTCCTCTTGGTGCCCACTGGGCACTGGGCTGCCAGGCTAAGTAGGTCTCCGGCCCTGCGCCCGAACGAACAGGGTGGGGAGTTGAGGTTCTGAGATGCTGGCCGGGAAGAGGAAGTCCTGCTCCGCCCCGCCCGTGCACATCCCGTTCACATCCCGCTCCTCCCGGCCCGCTTCCTGGTCTAGGGATGTGCTGCCGGCGGCTGCCTCCCTCCCGGGCTTGTAGCGGGGGAAGCGGGTGACCAGTGGATCTGGGAGAGCCTGGTGCGGCCAGGCCCACGGTCCAGGCGGGACGCCGTGTCGGGAGCGGCGGGATGAACACACTCTTCGCCCCCAGGGGCGGAGGAGTTCGCCAGCTTTCTGCAGGAGGCGCAGGTGCCGCTGATCCCGCACGAGCGCTGCTCCTCCGGGGAGATGCACGGCGCCGCCTTCCTCCCCGGCATGCTCTGCGCGGGCTTCGCCGAGGGTGGCACCGACGCGTGCCAGGTGAGCCTCGGGGCCCGCTTCGCGCCCAACCCCGCCCGTCAAGTGCAGACCCCAGGCCCAGGACGTCCTGCCCCCGTCCCGACAAGTGCAGAGCCCAGGCCCAGGGCGCCGAGCTGTGTGTCTCCACCCAGGGTGACTCTGGGGGCCCGCTGGTGTGTGAGGATGAAGACCAAGGGCGTCAGCTCACCCTGCGAGGCGTGGTCAGCTGGGGCTCGGGCTGTGGCGACCGTAACAAGCCGGGCGTGTACACCGATGTGGCCAGCTACCTGGAGTGGATCCAGGAGCGCATGGCTTCCTGACCGTCCGGAACGCCTCCTTCCCTCCTCGGTCGTTCTGGGGTGGGAGGATGGCTGGACTCGATCCTGGACCACAGGATGTGTGCCAGCGCCGTCAGTCCGGCTCCGGGCACTGAGTAAACACTCAATAAAGCGCTTTTGGAAATGCTCCAGAGGCACAGCTCTTCGCGCTCCTGCCGGGAAATGCCGGGAGGCAGCTTCTCCACGGGCCCTAGAGAACAGGACCTATTGGGATCTTAGGCAAGATTTAGGTTTTTGTCCAGCTGACTCTTGCTGAGCCGGTGTGCTGAGCCCTGTGCAGAGTGGCTCCACGTATTATTCCTCACATGAGACATTCATATTTTAAATTTCCAGAGTTTTCAACCTCAACTGTATGTCAGAACCTATGACAGAGATCCACCGCAGAGCAATTAGGGATGGGGCACGGGCAGTGGTATGTTTTAAAAGCTCTCAGGTGATGACATGTTCAGGCGGGGGTGGGAATCGGGGTTAGAAATGCTCAACCTTAAAACGGGTGTGGAGCCTTCAGGCTGGCCACCAGAGTGGAGTCCCTCACTCCCACCCAACCCTGTTAGGGCCTCAGAATGCCAACCTGGGACCAGCAGCAGCGGCAGTGCCAGGGAATTTGTAGAAATGCACAGTTTCAGGGTACACGCCATACTACTGAAGCAGAAACTCTGAGCTGGGGCCCAGCGGTCTGTATCACAGCTTTCCAGGCAATTCTGGAGCTCCTAACATTAGAGAACCATGTTCTGGGGACCAGGCGGAGAGGTCCCACTGTCCAGATGTGGCATCTTTTTATTTTAAAAAAAAAGATATATTTTATTTTAATTAATTAATTAATTAATTAATTTATTTATTTATTTTACAGAGGAAGGGAGAGGGAGAGAGAGTCTGAAACATTGATGAGAAAGAAACATCAATCAGCTGCCTCCTGCACACCCACACGCACACACTCTCTGGGGATGTGCCCCTGACCAGAATCAAACCCTGACCCTTCAGGCTGCCACTCTCTCCACCAAGCCAAACCAGTGAGGGCTGATGTGGCATCTTAAAAAAAAAAAAAAAAAAAAAAAAAAAAAAAAAAAAAAAAGTTTTTATTGATTTCAGAGAGGGAGAGAAAGAGACAGATAGAAACATCAACGATGAGCCGAAACCAGTTTGGGTCAGTGGATAGAGCATTGGCCTGTGGACTGAAAGGTCCCAGGTTCGATTCCTGTCAAGGGCATGTGCCTTGGTTGCAGGCACATCCCCAGTTGTCCCTACTGGGGATGGAGCCCACAACCCGGGCATGTGCCCTGACCAGGAATCAAACCCTGAACTCCTGGTTCATAGGTCCACGCTGGACCATGAGGCACACCTGCCAGGCGCACCTTTTTGTTTTTAATCCCATGTGCACTGTGCTTGCTGGGCCATCTAAATTGGTTTTCAAGGATTGTTTTGATGCTCATGCAACCTCCTCCTTCAGGCTAAATGTGAACTTCACCAGGTAACAGATACAACCCCGCCCCATTCTCCAGTGGGAGGTAGCGGGTCAGCGACCCCGCCAGCCTCAGCGTCACAGCCCCGCCCTCACCTCCGTCACAGTGCCCCACGCATGGTAGCCAGAGCAGCGGGCAACCCTCCGCAGTGCAAGGCGAGGGAGGGACCGACTCTGAGCCGGAATGGGCGAGTGGAAAGCCTACATCAGCGCAGTGCTGCAGGACCAGCGCATCGACGACGTCGCCATCGTGGGCCACTCAGATAATTGCTGTGTTTGGGCCTCGCGCCCCGGGGGCCTGCTGGCAGCGATCTCACCACAGGAGGTGGGTGTGCTCATCGGGCAGGACCGGTGCACCTTCCTGCAGGCCGGCCTGAGCGTGGCGGGCCGCCGCTGCTGCGTCATCCGAGACCACCTGCTGGCGGAGGGCGACGGCGTGCTGGACGCGCGCACCAAGGGGCTGGACGGGCGCGCCGTCTGCGTGGGCCACACGCCACGCGCGCTGCTCGTGCTCATGGCCCGGCGCGGCGTGCACGGGGGCATCCTCAACAAGAAGGTGCACGAGCTGATCCACTGGCTGCGCATTCAGGGCACCTAGCACAACAGCCAGGTGTCAGCGGAGACAAAATAAACTCAGGGAATGGCGGACTTGTCCTCGGGTTGCAGGGAGTATGGGTGGGGGTGGGGAGTGGGGAGGAGGGCGGGGGTGGGAGGGGTTGCTGAAGAGGAGGACACCGGTTTCCTGGAAGGTCCTCGAAGAAAGGTCACTGGTGGAGTGGGGATTATCACTCCCATTGGGTGCCCTCCCATTGCGTGCCCTGCAGAGGCTTCTGACCTGACTTTCCAGGCCAGAGTCTGGGGCGTGGGCCTTGGAGACTCCCAGGGTCCTAGGGACACCGAAGCTGAGCAGGAGTCCCAGGCAGCAGCCTTCTCAAACCCTCTAGCTCAGACCTGAGCATCCTTTCCCACAAAACTTTCCCCACAGCCTGCAGCATGAACCCCGAGGGAGTGTCTTCCCACTGCCCCACGCCCCTTCCCAGGCTGGACCCGTGTGCTTCTAGCCTCTTCCACTTGGCAAGAGGAAGCACTGGCAGGGGCTGTGAGTAGGTGACAGGGTGTGGCTGGCAGCTTGGGGAGCGTCTCTGGGGTTCCCAGTCTCTTGCCTCTTCCCCACACACCTCCCAGAGGGTGGGGTGGAGGAATGTGTCCAAGATCACACAGCCACGTCTGAGCCCTGCAGCCTCCAGTCCCCTTGGGGTCCACAGGCTCCACAGATATTCCTGGACTAGAGGGAGGAACGTTGGCGCCTCCCTCCCCTGGACCCTCCCCTGTAGGCCTCAGCTGGGGTGGGGGGAGGCTACAGAGGAAGAGGAATTGGAAACTTGACTGGGTTTTGAAAACCTAAATGAGATGTGGCTCATTGTCAAAGATGGACAAAGGTAGGAAGAGGGAGGGTGGCTGGTTCCTGCCCCCCTGAATCCTGGCTTGTCCTGTGCCCTTCGACCCTCCTGATCCCCTCCCACAGTGGTCCTGATAAGCCCCACATGCCACTTGCTTTGGGGAGTTTTGATCTCATGCCAGAGAAAGGGAGGGAGGGAGTCAGTGAGGTGAGGGAGTCGAGTCCAGAGACCAGGAGAAACCAGAGGTCAGCCTGGTGGGCTGGGGTGGAGGTAAGAGAGCCCTGCTAACATTGGCCCTGGGGTGGCCCCTAGACACTGGGAGGCTGTCAGGGAGTCTGAGCTGTGGATTGGACTCGTTAAGGACAGGGCCAGGAAATTGTTGGGGTGAGCTTATGGGCTGGTCTCCCAGGGCACAGCAGGCTGTCTTTGGGAGGGGAGATGGTGCTGCCGAACCCCTAGCTATGGTCTCTCCTCCCCCAGAATGAGAACAGATTTTCAAATGCATAATGAACGTTTAATTCCTTTTTTCCTTTTTAAAATCAGGCAGTGTTGGGGAAGGGGGCTGTAGCAGTGATGCAGAGAGCTGGGTGGGATGAGGAGAATGGCGTGGAGGAAGGGGTGGAAGGGAGAGGGTGAGAATTCAGCCAGGGACACCTTGCATGAGCAAACAGGAGCCAGGTGCTGAGACCACCCTCGTCCCCACCCAGCCCTGTTGGAGTTGCATGGACCCAAGTACACAAGCACCAGCCTCCAGACAATGTGCAAAGGACAGTCATCACAGGGGCCCTGCAGCCTGCAGCGCCGCCCCCGGTGCTCCATGGGGGACACGTGCAGGCTGACACAGGCTCACACAGCAACTCAGTCACGCAGCCCAGACCTCGGAGGGCCTGCACAAGGACAGGAGCGTGTACACAGACACACCCCTCTGCCCTCTCACCCCGGGCACCAGGCATAGGCCTTTCCTCGCCCCACCTGGCAGTCTGGGCTGAAGCCTAGAGGCGGGTGCCATTGTGGTGAGCAGGCAGGGCGAGGCGGGGAGAGGGTGTGGCAGGGGGCAGCTCCTCCAGGAAGACCCTGGGGGGCAGTGGGGGCGAGCGGGGCGGCTCGGGCCTGGCACAGCACAGGGTGGCGCGGGTGATGAGGCGGTCCAGGGGCTGCAGGGAGTGCATCCATCGGGGCAGGAAGTCCCATGTCTGCAGCCACTTGGGCAAGTGCCTGGGGCTGCGACTCTGCAGGACATTGACGAGCACCACGAAGGCCAGCAGGGCCGCGAAGGGTGTACCCACGCCCACCATGGCCCACCAGCCTGCCATGGAGATGCCAAACACCAGTGAGGGCATCAGGAGGAAGCACAGCAGGAGGTAGAGGACGGCAAACCAGCGGTACTTGGCGGTGCATTTGCCCAGGGCCTTGGCCATGCGGATGGGCAGGCGGGTGCAGGGCACCGGGTACCACAGCAGGATGCCTGAGATGTTGAAGAAGAAGTGGCAGAGGGCGATCTGCAGAGAAGAGGGCCAAGGAGCTGAGGTGGGCATGGGCCCTCTCCCAAGCCAGGACACTCCCAAGGGAACGGATATAGGGAGCTGGCCTGGTCTGGGCAGCAGGAAAGGCACACTAGGGTTGACGTGACCCCAGTAAAATACTGAAACACTTCTGGGTCAGTTGGCAAATAACCACTGCTTTGAACTCGCCATGTCTCCCCCTTGAACCCTTCTCCTAGGTATCCCCCAGCAGATCCTGTCCAAATCCAGGAGCTAAAGGACTTCTAGTTCCTGCCTCAGCAATTCTGGCCTCCTGATGGGTCCCCACCCTGACCTGAGCCCCTGCCTATGGTTACTACTTCTCGAACAGCCACTCCTCTGCTGTGTCCCCCCTACTCACCCTGATCCCCCCAGACTGGCCAGGCCCCCTCTTACAGCACCTCCCCCTCAGAGTGCATCCCACCCACTGTTTATTGGTGCGGCTCTGAGTCTCCCTGGTAGACGGCAAGGTCCTGAGGGTGGCACCAGCCCTATTCTGCCCATATGGTTGCCACAGACGCTGGCATAGCCGGTGGCCTAGTTAACAGTCAACAATTTGTTACTAAGTGCCCCACCGTGGGCCAGCCCGGTCCTCGCTCTGGCAGGGTGACGCCCCCAGGCACACCTGGAAGGCACTGGACAGCTTCTCCCGGGGGCTGGCCAGGGCGGCCAGGATGGCGGTGGTGGTGGTGCCGATGTTGGAGCCCAGCGTGAGGGGATAGGCGCGCTCAATGCTGATCACACCCAGGCCTGAGGGGGGAAGAGGGGAAGATGTGGTCTTCCAGCTCCCCCCTCAGCCCTTCCCCTGCCACCCGGCCTCCCTACCCCCGTCGTGAGCACTCACCGATGAGTGGGGTCATGGCCGAGGTGAAGACAGAACTGCTCTGGACAACGAATGTCATGGCGGCACCCACCACCATGGCGAAGTAGCCGGTGACCCAGGTGAAGGGGGGGGGGGAGTCTGTGGGGAGAACCATCCCAGCAGGGTCAGGGGGAGGGTTGGGACCGGAGAGGAACCTTCCTTGGGGAGGAGGTCTTGGAGGCTCGTTTCCAATGGGCCCTTTGCCAGTCCCCTGCTCAGCTGGGAGGCCTCTCCTGGCCCTTTGATCTTGGGCTGAAGGCTCCTCTCAGACTGGCTCTGTTGCACTTTTGTCCCCTTGGCCTGCCTATCCTCCCCACTCTTAGAGTCCCCCTGCAGGCTCAGGGTGGACATCGCTGCCACAGAAAGCCCTCCTGACCAGGCTCAGGCAGACTGTTCCACCTCCGCCCTCCTCCAAGCTCCTTTCCCGCAGCCTCTGCCTGTGCAGAATGAAGCTTCCAATAAGAATCAGACGGTGTCACTTCCTGCCCTCAATCCCCCAACTGCCCCCATTATCCTCAATGAAGTCCAGGCTCTGAGCACAGCCTGTGGCCTGTGATCTGCTCCTCCTCACCTCTCTGACCTCTCCCTGCCTCTCTCCGCCTCCCTCATTGAGCTCCTGCCAGGCCAGGATGCTGGTGGCTACCTTTCTGTGCCTCAAACCTGCCCAGCTGGTCCCTGCCTCCAAGCCTTGGCACTGCTGTTCCCTCCACCCACATCTGGACTCCTTTCCATTTAGGCCTTTGCTCAAATGTCACATCTGCACAGAGGCTGCTGGCCAAAGCAGCCTCTTCTGTTCCCTGTGGTGCTGTCCGTTTTTGCTTTCTCCTTGGCGTTTTCTCCCCTCCCCCATAAGCTGGTTTTCATTGCCATCTCCCGCCCTAGGCTGTGTGCCTCACCTCTGCACTCCCAGCACTACAGCGTGCTTGGCCCATGGTGAAGGCTTGATGACTATTTGTTGATTCAGTCAAGCAGAGGCCCCTGTTAATCTTTTCAGAGCTCCTGCTGGAATGGAACCGTAGCCAGAGGCAGCCACAGACCCCCAGGGCCAGCATCTCAGGGGCCTCAGAAATCACCCAGGCAAACCTCTTCTTTGTTCACATGGGGAAACTGAGGCTCAGGCGTGGTAGGGCTTTACCCAGATCGCACAGCAAGGCAGGAGGAGCTAGTGGGATCTGGAAGGGCCCATTCTGGGGCCCTGCTCTCTCCTCCCCCCTCCCCCCGCTGCTTGGCGCTCACCAGTGTTGATAATGGTCTGAATGACCTTGGCCACCTGGCCCTTGAGCAGAGAGTTGAGCGTCTTGACGAGGAGGATGAGGCAAGTGCACAGCAGCACCAGGGAGCCGGCCAGCAGGATGAGCCCCACGGCCAGGTCAGGCAGCACTGTGTCCACAAAGAGGTGGTTGCCTGTTGGGAGGGGTGTCAAGCTGCTGAGAACTGACCCCCCCAATCCAGCCCCCAGTCCCCCACCTTTGCCAACCCCTTGGGCTTGGAGCCCAAGGCCCCACCTTGGTCTCCTTAAACCTCGGGAGCTGGGCTGGTTGGCAGCCATCCTTCCTGGGGGACAGCCCTACCTCTGCCAGGCTCTGCCCCTACCAGCGGACCCCTCCCATGCTGCAGGCACTCACATTTCTCCAGGGTGGTGTTTCCGAGGGTCCGGCTGATGTTGGCCTCTGCCCTGGGCATGGGAGTGGGAGCCTAGGTTAGGAGGAGAGGGACGTAGGGAATTTAGGGAAGTGCAGCCTGGAGTTGGGGCTCAGATGGAGATTAGGGAGCGATGTGGTGACGGCCATGGGTCTCCTGGCTACGTGCTCTTGGGTGGTTTACTTGCCCTTGCTGAGCCTGTCTCCTCTGCTGAAGAGATGGGGTTGAAAATACCTGCCACCCAAGAATCTGGCCACGGTCAGCCCTTTGAGATTCTGCTCTGTTATCCACCGAACTGGCTCTCTTGGGCGCACGGGGTCTCCTGATCCGGTGGCCTCCTGATCCTTGCTTCTCCCATCTTCTTGGCATGATGCTGCTGTCCATGTTCTCTTCTGAAACTCTCTTTTCCTGATGTTTTATTCCCTCCTGGGGCCCCCTCTCGCCCAGAATCCTTGCTCCAGCCTGTCATCTGGGGCACCTAGCCCAAGCTCTCTTTGTTTTTGCTCAGTTCCTTATCTGGAGAAGGTTGTGGGACAGGGGACCACTGGTGGGCAGAGTCCAGGCCCCACATTGCTTTCCTCCCCCACTTACTATCAGTGGTGTGATGGGGGTTCCTGGGGAGGCACCTCAATTCAGAGGACCCTGGCCAGGCAGGTAGCCTACGTGAGGGGCTCAGGCTGGCGGTGGTGGGGGCAATGTGCTGGGCCTATAGGGGTGCAGCCACTCCGATCCAGGCCACTGTCACCACCCAGGGACACAGCCTAGCAAGGCCGAAGAGTCTGATTCTACAAGAAGCCACAACTCTATAATTTTAAATTAAATCTCCAAGTTTGTAAATGCTGGCTACCACTTTAAGACATGCTGTACAAATCTGTGAAGGCTGGTCTGGTCTAGGGAGCCCTAATTTGTAGCCTCGTTGGGTTAAGGAGTTTTTTATTTTTTATTATTTTATTATTATTAATTTTAATTCAACTTGGTACACCTTTCCTTTCCCCCAGACCAGAGCATGAAAGGAGGAAGTGGGCTGGGTTGGCTGGAACCTGCCATCCCTCAGAGGGGAATGAAGCCGGAAGGGGCAATTACTCCCAGGACCGCAGGCGAAATGCGAGAGCCGCAACTTCTCTCTTCTCCCCACAAACACATTCTGGTCTTCGGAGCTGATATGGGTGCTAATTCCTTTCCCCCCTGAAACTGCATCCACAGCCTCTGGCCTCCCCTGGTGCTGAGGCAGGGGCACAGCCGGGTCCTGGCACTTTGATGTTACAGCTCCATTAGGCTTGAGTCTAAACTGTGTCATTTAAAAATGTATGATAAAGATAAGACCTATTTGTGACACTTGGCTTTAAGTTAATGGTATGTGCTCCCTGTGTGGGGCAGCATGCTTAGCTGTATTGTCAGCTAGCCACACCAGAGCCGTGGGGTACCCTCAGGCCCAGCCCCAAATGCAGGAAATAGTCTCTGGTGGGCTCAGTTAGGAAAGCCAAGCAAGTGGTAGGAACTGCTATGCAGGTGTGAGGGAGAGAGCTAGGTGTGAGGGAGAGCCAGGTGTGAGAGTGAGCCAGGTGTGAGGGAGAGAGCCAGGAGTGAGGGAGAGCCAGGAGTGAGGGAGAGCCAGGTGTGAGAGTGAGCCAGGTGTGAGGGAGAGAGCTAGGTGTGAGGGAGAGCCAGGTGTGAGAGTGAGCCAGGCGTGAGGGAGAGAGCCAGGAGTGAGGGAGAGCCAGGTGTGAGAGTGAGCCAGGTGTGAGGGAGAGAGCTAGGTGTGAGGGAGAGCCAGGTGTGAGAGTGAGCCAGGTGTGAGGGAGAGAGCCAGGAGTGAGGGAGAGCCAGGAGTGAGGGAGAGCCAGGTGTGAGAGTGAGCCAGGTGTGAGGGAGAGAGCTAGGTGTGAGGGAGAGCCAGGTGTGAGGGAGAGCCAGGTGTGAGAGTGAGCCAGGTGTGAGGGAGAGAGCTAGGTGTGAGGGAGAGCCAGGTGTGAGGGAGAGCCAGGTGTGAGAGTGAGCCAGGTGTGAGGGAGAGAGCTAGGTGTGAGGGAGAGCCAGGTGTGAGGGAGAGCCAGGTGTGAGAGTGAGCCAGGTGTGAGGGAGAGAGCTAGGTGTGAGGGAGAGCCAGGTATAAGGGAGAGCCAGGTGTGAGAGTGAGCCAGGTGTGAGGGAGAGAGCTAGGTGTGAGGGAGAGAGCCAGGTGTGAGGGAGAGAGCCAGGTGTGAGTATGTGTTTGAATGTGTGAGTATGTGTATGTGTGTAAGTGTATATGTGTGTGAGTATATGTGTGTGTATGTGAGTGAGTGAGTGTGAGTGTATGCATGAGTGTGTGAGTGTGTGAGTGTGTGTATGTGTGTGAGTGAGAGTATGTGAGTGTGAATGTGAGTGTGTGTGAGTGAGAGTGTGTTAGTGTGAGTGTGTGTGTGTGTGTTATGTGTGTGTGAGAGAGTGTGTGAGTGTGAATGTGAGTGTGTGTGAGTGACAGTGTGTTAGTGTGAGTGTGTGTGTGTGTTTTATGTGTGTGTGAGAGAGTGTGTGTGAGTGTGTGTTTTTGTGTGTGAGTGTGTGTGTGAGTGTGAGTGTGTTTGTGTATGTGAGTGAGTGTGAGTGTGTGAGTGTGTGTGTGTGAGTGTGTGTGTTTATGTGTGTGTGAGTGTGTGTGTGAGTGTGAGTGTGTGTGAGTGAATGTGAGTGTGTGTGAGTGTGTGTGAGTGTGTGTGTGTGAGAGAGAGTGTGTGTGTGAGTGTGTGTGTGAGTGTGTGTGATTGTGTGTGAGTGTGTGTGAGTATGTGAGTGTGTGAGTGAGTGTGAGTGTGTGTGTGTTTATGTGTGTGTGAGAGTGTGTGTGAGTGTGAGTGTGTGTGAGTGTGTGTGAGTATGTGTGTGTTTATGTGTGTTTATGTGTGTGTGAGAGTGTGTGTGTGTGTGTGTGAGTGTGTGTGTGTGTGAGTGTGTGAGTGTGTGTGAGTGTGTGTGTGTGTTTATGTGTGTGTGAGAGTGTGTGTGTGAGTGTGTGAGTGAATGTGAGTATGTAAGTGTGTGTGTGTGTGTGTGTGTGTGTGTGATTGCTTCCTCGGTCAGGATCAATGGTTCCTGCACATCTGCCTGAGGATCGTGGCCTTGTGGGGAGGACTCTGTGGCTCTTCCTTCTTGGGAAACCCAGCCTGCAGCCTGGAGCCCCGGGAAACAGATGGCTGCTGAGGTGGGGGGAGGGCTTGTGGAGTCCGGAGAGGCTGGAGGAAGAGAAGAGCTTCTCTGGGTCTGGTTGGGACTGCAGCGTTGAGTTAGGACAAGAGTGAGGGCTAAGATCTCAGGGTTCCTGCAAGGATTGTGTGGCCCTGGCTGTGCTCACAGGGTGTGTGTGTGTGTGGGGGGGGAAGGGGTGGGTGTCCAGAGACTGTAAAGGGAAGGAGGGAGGAGGTGGAAGTTTAGATAAAGAGCTAGCAAGCCCAGGGTCTGGGGCACACCCCCAGGAAGCCATCCCTCCTGGCCTTGAGGCGTGGTGGAGTGGGAAGGGGACGGGTGGGGAGAACAGAACGGATGAGCTCAGACAGCCTGGGCCAAACCCCAGCTGAGCCACTCTGAGCTGTGACATCGGGCCAAACACATAACCTCTCAGGGCGTCCATTTTCCCTCTGCATCCTGAGGTCCCTGTGCTGCCCAGTCTCCCCAGGAGCGGGTTGTGAGGAATCTTGGGAGAGAGAGTTGGGATTTAAATGCCTGAGCAGCCATCCTAAATATTAAGCTCACAAAGGAATGTTGGAGCCAAGAATCCTTTCCCCAGGGAGAAAGGAAGGATGTGTGCCTGCCCAGCAGTTTCCCTTCTAGGGAATGGGGAGTGAGGGTCTTTGTTTCTGAAAGCGGAGGGAGATCACCATGCCAGCATCGCCACCTGGTGGCGAAGAGGAGAATTCCTTAGAACGGAACATCACCCCCGGAAGGTAATCTGGGTGGCAGAGGTCCCCTGTGCCTTTAGGTATGATGGGCAGAGTGGGGAATGGGCACGAATGGTGGGATACCAGGTTGGCATCTGGAAGAGGCTATAAGGTGAAAACTCAAGGACGCAGGCTCCAAATCCCACGAGGATTTTAGTCCTTCCTCAGTCACATGGACTTGGACAAACCCCTCCGAGACTCAGTTTCCTCATCTGTAACGAGGGATGTAATAATCCCTGCTTTTCAGGTTGTAAGTCCTCAAAGACACACTTGTTGGAACCAGGCAGGTCTGGTTGACAATCCACAGTGTGACCACACAAGGAGGTAATTCCCAGGACAGCGTCAGGCCTCCAGAATGCCAAGAGGTGTTGAAGCACCAAAACTGCCTGTTTCTGTCTCCCCCTTCCCCCGACTCCCATTTGGATAAGCTCAGATTCTCAATTCTCTCCTTTGGGCCAGGGTACCTGGAGACTGGTTTGGGCGAGTTGGATCCAGCTTGGTGAAAGCCGTAGGCAAAGCGTGAGGAAGAGAATACGAACAGGGAGCTCAAGTCCCACCCGCCGGTCACTCTCGCAGTCGAGGGAACTGCTCTTAAAGGGTCTCCTGGGAGAGCTGGGCCGAGAAACCAGTGCTCAGGCAGGCGGCAGCTGGAGCAGGGACCTCAGCCCCCGCCGAGTGGCCTCACCCAGGTTGCTTTAGGCCTATGAACCTCAGGTTCCTCCAGTGGAAAGTGGGATGCTCCAGTCCTCCCCTGCCCTGGATGGGGATGTCACCGGGAGGGCTCCGCTCAGTGGAATGTGCTGCAAGGGACCTGCTGGATGCAGGCTTTCGGGGCGGCGAGGAGTGCCGGCTCGTTTTATTGTGAAGATCAAAGCGTGTGATTCCTCTCCCTCCAGGTTTTGCTAAGAAGCAGAGAGGACTGTGATGAGTCGCAGCGCTTGGGGAGGGCCCCTGCGAGCGGGTGAGAAGGTAGAGGTTGGTAGAGAGGTCACAGAGCAGCATAAAAGCTGCCTGCGTGGGCTTTTTGATATCAGACTGCCTCTGAGACTCAGCAGGGCTGAGCCGGAGCCGAGTGGCACTCAGAGCAGGGAACCTCGCAGGGCCGGTGGAAAGGTTGCTCTCTATTCACGCGGGGATAAAGGCTTCGTGACTTCAAGTCGCCAAGAGGAGATGATGAGGGGGAAAGGCTTGGGCTTTGAGTTTCTTTCTCTCTTGTTCTAAGTGGTGTTACATTTGATGTGTAATCAAGGGGAAGCAGGTACTGAGGATTAGGCTTTGGATGGCTGCTTCCTAGTTAGCCTGGTGTAGTGGCCGGTCCACGGGCGTCCAACTCATCCAAAGAGATCTTCATCCCAGGCAGCAGAAGCCAGAAAGCAGCAGGAATAGTGCAGAAGGGCAAGTGGGCACATGCCTGTGTGTGTGTCCAGGGGAGGAGCCCCGATGTGGGCACGAGGGGCTGTGTGTCTCCAGTGAGGCCCCTACATGGCCCGCGTGTCCTGCTCCTTGGCCAGTAGCCTGTTTATCCTGCTTTCCTGGGGATCCTTATAGCACTCTTGTCCTGCCCTCTCCCGCATGCCTGTGCCCCAGTATCCGCAGGGCTGAGTCACTGAACCCCTGCCCCCCCCTGGGGAAGAAGAGGCCTGGGTGGTGAGACCTGGGCTCGGCGCCCTTACATAGAAGGACAAGCTTCAGCAGGTTTCTTAGCTGCTGGAGCCTGTTTCTCTGTTTGTGAAACCAGAGGGTGGAGCCAGAGCAGTGGCTCTTAAACTTGAGCATGGAGCAGACCAGAGAAGTTGTTGAAATTAGGCTGCTGGGCCCCATCCCTGAGTTTTTTCTGATTTAGAAGGTGGAGGGGAAGGGCCGAATCCGTTGCATCTCTAACAGGTTCCCAGGCAGTACAGGTGCCACTGGTCCGCACTTTGAGAACCACTGGGCTAGTTCGATTGACATGCCAACTCTCATTGATTGGTAATGGCTGCCTAAAGCTGGCGTGAGGCTGGGAGAGATTAGCAACATCTGCCGTAGGCACAGTCTCGTGGTCAAAGTGGCACATTGTCCCCTCTCTAGGCTAATAATGGCCTGTAAGGTCTACTTGGAGCTTTTAAGAGATAATGACACGAACAATCAGCTGTCTGAGAAAGGAGTCTCCTCACCGGGGGCCAGACCTGGGACTTACCTTCACGGGGTCTGGGTCGCACCAGATCCTGATGAGGCTGTGGTTCCTCAGGGACTCGTTGCCCATGGCGATGCTGGTAATCACGGTCTTGTCCAGCTGTGGGCCAGATGTGGGCAGGGGAGTGAGTGTGGGGCCCTTACGGCGCCCGGCTCCGCCCCGCCAGCCCTGCCCCACCTGGATGACGAGCTTGGTGAAGGGCTCCGTGATGATCTTCAGCAGCTCGGGGGCGTCCTGGCCGCCGCGGATGTTGAAGGAGGCCACCACGAGGCGAGTGACGTGGTACAGGTACCCAGAGGCGACCTCCAGGGGCAGCAGGACCAGAACTGACAGCCAGTTAAAGCAGTCGTGCACAGTGGCCCCCGCGAAGGCCCTGGGCGGGGAGGCCACGTTGGGAGGTAGGCCGGAGCCCGGGTTTGCTCACTCTGGGGCTCCTGGCATCCGGGGCGACCCTCCCCGCACAAACACGGACCCGCCACCACTCCACCCCTCACCTACGGAAGTCGGTCCTGTCCCCCGCCTGCATCAGGGCCACGATGGTGTTGGTGACGGAGGTGCCGATGTTGGAGCCCATGATGATGGGGATGGCGGAGCTCACCTCCAGCACTGGGAGGGGAAGGGGCCTCGTAACTACATGGGTCGTGTCCACCCAGCTCCTGTCCCCACAGCAGCTCCTGCCAGACCCGCTGCCCGTGTTCTGGCCACTAGTGGGCATTCCTGCCATGCTGCTAACTCCGCCTAGCCTCCGTGTCACAGGTACATGTGTGGGGGGCATGTGTATAAGAGGGCATGTGTCCTGTATGCAAATATGTACATGCCATTACAAGTCAACTAGGCGTGGCATGCATATATGAGTGTGACTCTCAGTTCCAGGCGTGAGCTTGGCGAGGCTTTGGTACCCAGTTATTCAATCCAACATTAAACATTGCTGTGAAGGGGGTTTGCAGATGTGATTCACCTCTACAATCAGCTGACCTTAAGCAAAGGAGATACACCTCAGGACTCTGGGTGGCCCTCATCCAATGAGACAAAAGGCCTCAGTGCACTCAGAGGCTTCCCTGAGGAGGGAGGAGTTGCACCTCTGTGTGCACATGGCTCCTGGCTGAGCTCCAGCCTGCCCGCCCTTCCCTGCAGCCACTTCCCTGCAATAAACCATTTGTTTCTCCCACAGCCTCCCTGACATTTCTCCGCTTCTGTTTCCCTGGCCGATGGTGAAGAACTGCGTGAGGTTCTGGAGGTGAGCCTTCCTGGGGCTGCGCCCCCATCTGCTACCTTTCAGGCTCCTGGGCAGCCCTCCACACTGAGACTCCTGGCTCAGCCTTCGAGGACAGATTGGGAGCTGCCAGAGCTCTGCCCTTAGCCCTCAGTCCCCTGTTCCCCCTCCCCCAGCCCTTGTGCAGCACACCCGGCTCCCCACACTCCCTCCCTGGCCCTCGTGGGCCGACTCACAGCCAGAGGAGACCATGCTGACGATGATGGAGGTGGAGGTGCTGGAGCTCTGCACCAGCACGGTCACCAGGATGCCCACCACCAGCCCCGCCACCGGGTTGGACAGGATGGCGTTGTCCTTGAAGATGTCACCGGCCACCTTCCCTGGGGAGCATGAGTCACCATCGCTGGAGGCCCTTCAGGGGCCTTTCCCCAGGCCCTGCCTGAGCCCTACCTCCAGCCAGCTGGAAGGCTGAGCTGAGCACGTCCAGGGAGCAGACAAAGAGGTAGAGGAACGTGAGCATCAGCGGCACCTTGAGGAGTGTCAGGCCGGTCCGGCGCAGCCTCTGGGCCAGTCCGGGCTCTGAGGAGGGGACAACCGTGAGCACAGCGGCCAGAGGGCTGGGGCGTGACTGCTGGTGTCCCTGCCGCCCAGCTCAGCCCACCTGGCTTCTGCTCCTCCTCCAGGGCCAGCTTGGCAGGCAGCGGGTCATGGAGCTCCAGAACCTCCCCAAAGGGGCAGCCGTGCTCGGCGAGGGCCACAGAGCCCAGGCTGGGGAAGGCATAGGCGGAGGTCCCTGGGATCCTGTGCAGGACTGGGAAGGGAGGCTGGTCAGGAGTTCCCAGAGGCCCAGGTCCCAGGGAGGGCAGGAGGGGTGCCGTGGGGGGTGGAGGTCTCACCCGGGATGTGGGCAATTGGGGCAAGCAGGGTCCGGGAGGGGGGGGGGCACACTCACCCTGAGGGCTGGGCACATAGGCAAAGGCTGCCCCATGCATGATGGGCCCCCTGCGGACTGGGATTGGAGAGACAGCAGAGCCCCCCAGCCTCTCTCTGTAGGACATCATCCTGGCCACACGCAGTGGTGTCTGCAACAACATCGAGTGACAACTGCTGCGTCCTGGGCACTCCCACACTCACACCTCTACCTCCCACACCCACACACTCACTTGCACAAGCATTCATGAAGTGTGATCCCAAACACACACCCATGACATATCCCCCCTCTGCCCCCTTACTCCACTATCCCTCTAACCCCCTATTCCCCTACCCCCCTAACTCCCTACTCCCCTACCCAGGGAAGCACACTCAGGTGCCCAGCACAGATTCGGGCATTCATTCATTCATTCATTCAGCAAGTATGTATTGAGCATCGATTCTATCCTAGATGCTGGGTTACAGTGGTAACTACATACAGACATGTCTGCCCCTAGGAAATTCAAAGGGTGGTGGGGGGCATTTGTCAATGAAATAATCCCTCAAATAGATAGAAAATGGCAATGGGAATAAGTGTTCCAATGGCAGGAATGGTGCCACCAGAGTCTCACGGTGGGTGGGCCCTAGGAGGAGGGAAGAACCGTTAGTAGGCCCTACCAGGAGGAGAAGGGGACGGCACTTGTACAAGGGCCATGTGCGGGGAGAAGCCGCGGGCATCCTGCAGCTGGAGGGGCCTGGGAACGTGTGCAGAGGCTGCGGCTGTGGGCCCGGCCAGGCACGGGCTGCTCAGCCGTTTTGCCCATCTCAAGAGCGGTGAGGACCATGCACACCTGTTCTTCTGGATCAAGGGATCAGCTGGAGGCGTCCCACTGGCCTCGGCAGACCACCCTCTCCTACTGCTCACGTCCTCAACAGGAAACAAATCCCGCCACCTTGCTCCCGTGAATGAGGCTCAGACCAGAACTGGTTTAGGTAAGGAGGGCCCTCACCCTGTCCCCAAGTCTGGGAAGTCCAGGCTTGTGTTAGCGCCGCTCTCCCCATGCATGATGAGCCCCCCCCCCCCACTCCCTCGAACTGTCCCTGGAGTTCTTGGCTGTTGGGGTGAGAGTGCCCCAGGCTGCCCTCACTCCCACCCCTAACATTGTCCCAGGGGCCTTGGCTGTGGGATGGGGGCGTGTGCTGAGCTGATGTCCCAGTCCTGGAAGAAAGAGCACAGTCCTTTCACTTTGGGAGTGAGCCAGGCTGGGCTGGGACTGAGACGTTATGGGGGTAGCAAGAGGGGGGCTGGGGTAATGAACTGTTTCTACTAAGAGTTGAAGATGAGGTTGGGACGAGGGGACTGTGGGCTCACCTTAGGATTCTGTGTTTCAGCTCCTGCTCAGCTGCTCAGGGAAGTCCCAAAGACCCAAAGAGAAGCTGGGACCCTCCACTTTATACTCTTGGGTCAAGGGCAAAGTCCCTAGAACCCTAGCTGCCCTCCCTCTGTTCCCCGATTAACCTCACCCCTGAGATTCCTCCCGGTTAATTGCTAATCGTCAACTCTGCAGGGGGAGTCTGCAGTTAGACTCTCCCTTCCCCCAACAGATGCTCAGCCTGAACCACCACCCAGACCCAGTGAGGGCACAGACACACCCGCCCCCCCGGGCAGAGACCATGCAGGCTCCCGGGAGCCTCCTCCCAGAGTCCCCAAAGAGATTCTGTGGCTCCAGCTGCCAGGACTCCCCAAAGAGCGATCCGACATCTTGTGGCCTTGCCGTGTGTCTGAGTGTCTGTGGGTCTGTGTGTTTTGAGGGTATTTGGAGGAGGGGTGTGTGTAATGGCGGAAACAACAGGAGACAAATGTGAGGGGCTGGGTACGTGGAATCTGGGAGCATCTCCAATGCCCAACCACGGATCCGGGAAGTGAAGCCTATCAGACGGTGGAGCCCCTTGTCAGACCAAGAAGGGCCTGCCTGCACATTGGAATGGTCCGTCTGGGTGGGGTGGGGTGGAATGTGTCATAGGGAGTGAGTCTGGAAGCAGAGGGACCAGTTAAGAGGCTGAGAGATGATGAGGCCTGAACCAAGGTGGGAACAGGAGGGATGGAGAGAACAGGATACATCCTGGGGGTACTTGGGCAGTAGAGTTGGTGGTGGGGAGGGTGAGAGGGAGAGGAAAGATATGAAAGTTCGGTTTCTGGATTGTGAAACCGATGAGGATATGAAAGTCAGAGGGGTCTAAGGAAGTCTTTCAGAGCTTGTTTCCCTTTCACAGGACTATGGAGCCCGATTTGAGGAACAGATTCACAGAAGGATGAGAAGGAAGCTTCTCTCTTTTTTTTTTTTTTTTTAAAGAGATTATGGTTTGAAAAAAAAAAAAAAGAGATTATGGTTTGGTCAGATCCAGCAATAATCTTTTTTTTTTTTAAATTGATTTTTTACAGAGAGGAAGAGAGAGGGATAGAGAGTTAGAAACATCAATGGAAGAGAATCATCAGTCAGCTCCCTCTTGCACACCCCTTACTGCGAAGGTGCCTGCAACCAAGATACATGCCCTTGACCGGAATCGAACCCGGGAACTTTCAGCCCGCAGGCTGACGCTCTATCCACTGAGCCAAACCGGTTTCGGCACTATCTGCATTTTTAACCTCTAGTCATTTCCCCCATCTTTCAGGTAATTTGTGGATACCGTCCAAATAGAACTTTTCTTGTTTTGAGGCTAACCATTCAGAGACCCAATTTTCCACTTCTTCGTACGTTTTGAAGTGCTGCTCAGAAAGTGCATGTACCATTGATCAGAACAAGTGGTAATCTGAAGGAGCAAGGTCTGGTGAATACAGCGGGTGAGTTAATACTTCCCAGGCAAGATCTTTTAACGTATCTTTAACTGGTTTTGAAGTGTGTGATGGTGCATCATCATGAAGCAAAATTATTTTGTTGTGTCTTCTGGACCATCCTGATGGTTTTACGATCAAAGTGTGGTTCAAAATAATTATTTGTTGTTGGTAGTGATCAGTAATAACGGTTTCACCTGGTTTTAGAAGCTCATAATACACTACACCTTCCTGATCGCACCAAACGCAGAGCATTGTCGTCTTTCCAAAGCGATTGGCCTTGCAGTAGACGTCGATGGTTGACCTGGATCAACCCATGATTTTGTGCGTTTGGGATTCTCTAAATAAATCCAGTTTTCATCACCAAAAGGACTTTCTTTCATGCCATTGAAGCAACATTTTCCTGATGACTTTTTAATTTTCCATTTGTCTTTTGTTCAGTTAATGTGGCACCCATTTCCTTCCTTTAAAATCTTTCCCATTCGGCCAGGCCCGGAGCAGCGGCTGCCAGGCTGGGAGCGGCCAGGCCCGGGGGAGCAGGCGGGTCGGGTGCGGCCAGGCCCGGAGCAGCGGCTGCCAGGCTGGGAGCGGCCAGGCCCGGAGCAGCAGCAGCCAAGTCCAGAGCAACTAGGTCGGGAGCGGCAGTGACCAGACCCGGAGCAGCTGGTTGTGGAATGAACCAGAGCAACAGAGGCCAGGCCCTGAGCAGCCAGGCCCAGAACAGCTCGCTCCTTGCCTGCCCCTGCCCCACGGCTGCTTCTCAGACATGGCTGGAAACTTTCATGGGAACTTGAGGGTCTGCTGAATCAAGTGATGAAGGCTTAGATCTGGATGTGTTGAGTTAGTATAGGGCTGGGGTGTTGATCTGTGAGTGCCTTGGGTGAGGCCTGGATGAGGCTGGTGGACCTATTGGGAAATGTCTTTTGTGTGAAGTGTATCATTGGGCATGTGGAGGTATTATTGATATGAGAAAATGCTAAGTAACTGATTTACTATCTGAAAAGGGATTTACTATTGGGGAAATTGAGGGAAGAAGAGACTGAACATAAACTGCACCTATGGATGAGGACAATGGGGGATGGGGAGGGGGCAGAGGGTGGGGTGGGAACTGGGTGGAGGGGGGAAGAAATTAGGAACCTTTGTAATAATATGAACAATAAAGATTGATTTAAAAAATTAAAAAAAAATAAAATAAGATAAAATCTTTCCCATTGCTTGTAAATTACTGGAAATTGTTTGCTGAGCAAGGTTTAATCTTTCTGCAAGTTGTTTTTGAGTTTGACGTGCATCTTCATCCACTAATGCTTGCAATTGTTGGTCTTCAAACTTTTTCCATTGACCTGGACGTTCTTTGTCTTTCACATTGAAATCATCTCTTTTAAAGCAATTAAACCAGTGTTCACAAGTATCTTGATATGTAGCATGTTCACCATAAGCTTCCCGAAGTATTCAGCAGCACTTCTCTTCAAAATAAAGTAAGGAATTAAAACTTCCTGCAAATGCTCTTTTTTGGGGGGCACAAAATTCGACATTTTTAAGTGTAAAAATATCTATGATGTTAACGTCTTCAGAAAATTTGACATATGAAGTTTAGGAGATTGTTGTCAATACAATAAAATAGCATACATATCAAATTACATACATATCAATATATGTCTAACTCCATCAATTGAAAAAAAAATCCGCATTATTAACCGGTACACCTCGTATCCACCCACCATCCGTCCACCTACCCATTCACCTAGCCAGCCAGCTGGCCTGTGTCTGTCCATCGGTTGGTTTCTAAGCACATTAGCTGAGTTCCTACTCTATGTTGGGCCAAGATTGGCAAGGTCAGCTTCTCTCTTGCTCCAATGGTACAGTCCCCGAGCCAGCCTGGGACTCTGAGGCCAGTCACCTCGCCTCCCTGAGCCCTAGGCCCTTCACTGGTAAAATGACAATTGGCTGGGCTTTTTCAGTGAATTGTGGAATTCAGAAAGATAAGTGACCCATCTCTGTGCCTGGAACGGAACCCCTCAGCGCCTTTGCTCTCTTCCTGCTCCCGTGCCCTTTGGCCGTCTCCAGGTGGCTGAAGTGTGCTGGCGAAGGGAACGGCCCCACCGCCTCAGTTTCTCAGTCCTGTTTTTGGCTCACCAGCCAGCCCCCGATTGCTCAGGTCCCCTGAGCGGAAATCCTCCACAACACTGAGCATATTTTAGGGGGACACAGACCCAGGCTTTCTCCATCCAGGAAGACAGAAACCTGCACAGTCCCCCCTTTAATGTGACAAAGGTGAGGTAATTAGTGTATCACTTGCCGAGCACTGAGGAGTAATGGTCA